TTCTCCCGTTGTCTACGACCTGCAGCAGCAGCCATAACAGCAGTAGCAGCAGCAGCAGCAGCAGCAGTAGAAGCAGCAGCAGTAGAAGCAGCAGCAGGGCCGCTTTGTTGTTGTCTGTTTTTCTTTGTTTTTAATTTATTTGCTCTTCCTGATGTCTACTTGAGGCGTTTATAATAATACTAATAATAATTAATATTAATTATTATTAATTTTTATCATGATTCTTAGCTATTATTATTATTATTATTTATTATTTGTTTGTATTATTATTATTGATTAATAATAATAATTAGTAATAAACAAATATTAATAATTATTATTATCCATCGTTATTATTATTTTTATTAAATATTATTAATTATGAATATTAATTATTATTAATATTATTTATTATTGATATTTATAATTACTACTCGTTATTAATATTACTTATTGTAATTGTTAACCGTTACTATTAATTATTATTATTATTATTATTAATATTATTAATATTATCATTATTAATATTATTAATATTATTAATATTATTAGTATTAATATTATTGTTTGTTTGTTTTTACTGTTTTTGTTTTTGTTGTTAGTGTACACCTTGAAAAATATTTTATTTGGACATACCTCTGCTGTATGTTTTCTTTTTAAGCGTTTTTTTCTGTTTATCGCCTCCTTCCGTCCTTTCTTTTGTCTCTTTTCCTTTTAAAAGTGCAGCAAATGCAGCAATTCTCTCTTCCTAAACAAAAACAAAAAAAAAGATATTATAATATATGCTACCATACACCTCCAAAGATAAGCAAAAAACATATTTATAATAATAATGAGTTTATTATTATTATTATTACTGTTATTATTCTTATTCTATAATAATATAATGAATTTAATAATATGTATATACATAATTATCTATATATATATATATGTACATATATATATATATATACATACAGATATTATATATATACTTATACATGAATATATATAAAATAAAATATATAGAATATTTATGTATATCGGCGCCTAACACCAAATGCATGCAGCAGCAGCAGCAAAAGCAAAAGCACGAGGTGCATGCATCCACTCTTAGGGCTTTCTTCTGAAACGAAGAACAGCATCACCAACACAAACAAATAAGGCAAAAGCAACAAGAACAGAAGCAGCAGCAACAGCAGCAGCAGCAGAAACAGCAGCAGCAGAAGCAGCAGCAACAGCAGCCGCACCCTGATTTTAACCTTCCGAGCGTCTTCTAGCGCAAACTGCACAATCGGCCGTCTCTGCTGCTGCTGCTGCTGCTGCTGCTGCTGCAGGACTTCACTGGGTTTGGTGAAGAAGCCTTTGCTGTCGCGTATTGCATGCAGCAGCTGCAGCGTCTGGGGGAAGTGTGTACAAATATCGATAAAACAAAACCCTAAAGAACGACGAGGAGAGTTTTGAGTGTCTTTGTTGTTGTCTGTTTTCTCTCGCTTTTCACGTATGATGGCTACCTGCATATACACCCCAAAACACAAACAGAGTTCTGCTGCTTTTGCTGCCTCTTTCTGCTGCAATTAATGCTGCATGCATGCAGAAATACCTTTTAAAGATTCACCAAGCAAAAGAACAAACAAAGATATATATATATATATTTACGAACAGCAAACTCTCAGGTGTATATATACACTTCAAATTGTATGCATTAGCTGCATATACACCCCAACAGGAACTTACTTTGGTTATGGCTGCTGCTGCTTTTGCTTTCCACTCCTTAGCTTTGACCTTCTTTGTTTCCTGCTGCTGCTGCTGCTGCTGCTGCTGCTGGGGGTCGAGCTCAACTTGT